TCCACCAGTGGCATTATCGGTTGGATCATCCCTCATTGAGGTACTTGAAATCTGCACTACCTTTTCTTGAGTCCGTGTCTAATTTAGACTATGAGTCGTGTCAATTGGGCAAGCACCATAGTGTCTTTTCCTCCCTGTATTGATAATCGTCCCTGTATTTATTTGAATTGGTGCATACAGACATTTGAGGTCCTGCTCGTCATGTCAGTCACTTAGGGTTTTCCTATTCTGTTACCTTTGTTGATGACTATTCAAGGATGACTTGGATGTTTTTAATGAAAGATCGTTCTGAACTTTTTCCCATATTTCAATTATTTTTAAAGAAATTGAGGTCCAGTTTGGATGTGTTATACGAACTTTACAATCTGATAATGCCATGGAATATGTCAAAGGTGCTATTTCTCAATTTTGCGACACTCATGGTATTTTGCACCAAACTTCTTATTCTTATACTCCTCAACAAAAATGGCGTAGCAAAACGAAAAAATAGGCATTTAATTGAAATAACTCGAACCTTAATGATCCATACGCATCTTCCCAATGCATTCTAGGGAGATACCGTTTTAACTGCTTGCTATTTAATTAATCGCATGCCATCTTCCATTCATAACTGGAAGAGCCCTCTTTCTATGGTTTTTCCTACCTGTCCGTTATTTGCATTAACGCCTCATGTTTTTGGTTGTGTGTGCTTTGCTCATGTATTACGTCTTGGCACAGATAAATTGTCTCCTCGTGCCATTAAATGCGTCTTTATTGGTTATTCACGAACTCAAAAAGGTTATAAATGTTGGAATCCTAGCACTCGTAGTGCTTTTGTGTGTATGGATGTCACCTTTTTTAGGACACTCCTTACTTCTCTTCACGTGGTTCGTCTTTAAATACCGATTTGTTGCTTCCGTTGCCTGTTGTGTCTGCTTCAATTGAATGTGTCTGCTTCAATTGAATTTGTCACACCACAGCCACTTCAAGTGTATGGTCGAAGACCACGGGAAGCATCCCACCAATTTTCTAATTCTATTAAGGTTCCTCCTCCTGCTGATGATCTTCCTATTACCTTGCGTAAAGGTACTCGCTCGTGTCACTGCACATCCCATTTCTAACTTTATCTCATATAATCATGTTTTACCCTCTTTATCCTGTTTTGTATCCAAGTTGTCTACTACTTCTGTTCCCAAGACTTTGCAGGATGCTCTTTCTAATTCAAATTGGTGTAAAGTAATGGTAGATGAAATGGATGCCCTTCATTGTAATGGAACATTGGATCTTGTTCCCTTACCTCCGGGTTCCAAACTGGTTGGTTGTAAATGGGTCTACACTGTCAAATACCATCATGATGGGTCTATTGAGCGTTTGAAGGCTCGTCTTGTTGCAAAGGGGTACACCCAGACCTATGGTGCTGATTATGACGAGACCTTTTCCCCTATTGCAAAGATTTCCTCTATCCGAGTCCTTATTTCCATTGCTACCAATCATAATTGGTCATTATTTCAATTAGATGTGAAAAATGCCTTCTTACATGCTGACTTAGCTGAAGAAGTGCATATGGAGCAACCACCTGGGTTTGTTGCTCAGGGGGAGTATCACCATGTTGTTTGTCGCCTTAGGAAGCCCTGTATGGATTGAAACAATCTGCAAGGGCTTGGTTTGGAAAATTCTCTGAGGCAACATTAGCATTTGGTCTTAACAAATGTTAGACAGATCATTCGGTAGTTCACCTGCACACCAAAGCTGATTTCATTTTTCTTACGGTATATGTAGATGATAGTATGATCACAGGTAATGATTCTGAAGGCATTGCTCAGTTGAAGTTGTTTCTGCAAAATCGATTCCAAACTAAAGACTTGGGTGAACTCAGATATTTCTTGGGTATTGAAGTTGCTAGATCCAATGAAGGTATAAGTTTATCTCAAAGAAAATATGTGTTGGATTTATTAAAAGAAACAGGTATGTTAGGTAGTCGTCCGGTTAATGCTCCTATGGATCCAAATACAAAACTCTTGTCTGATGAGGGTGATCTATTTAATGACCCTAGCAGATATCGACGGCTTGTTGGGAAATTAATTTATCTCGCTATCACTCGGCCTGATATTTCATATGCAGTGAGTATCGTAAGTCGGTTCATGGAAGCTCCTAGAATGCCACATTTGAATGTTGTTCTTCGAATTATCCGACACCTTAAACAAGCTCTAGGTTTTGGGTTACTGCATAAATCAAATGGGCATCTCAGGGTGGAAGGCTTTACAGATGCTGACTAGGCTGGTTGTCCCTCAGATAGGAGATCTACTACATGCTACTGCACATTTGTAGGAGGGAAACTTGTTGCATGGAAAAGTAAAAAGTAAACGGTGGTAGCACAATCTAGTGTTGAAGCTGAGTATAGGGTCATGGCACATACCTCTAGTGAGTTGGCATGGCTACAACATTTTCTCGAGGAACTTGGGATGATAGTCAAAACTCCAATTCCGTTGTTCTGTGATAACCAAGATGCTATTCATATTGCATCCAATCCTGTGTTTCAAGTGGGAGCATCTCTACTCCATTTGTGAAGTCTGGAGATGAGCTAGCTGATATGTTTACCAAAGCACTTGGTCATAATTGGCTAAGGACTATTTGTTCCAAGCTGGGATTATATGATATATATTCTCCAGCTTGAGAGGGAGTGTTAGAATATATATATATATATATATATATATATATATATATATATGCCAATTTGTAATTTAATTATAGTTTGTGGCCTTAGTATAATTACGCCTTTCTTACATTTGTATATAACCCCTATTTTTACTTCTCAAAAATATATATATATATATAACCCCTATTTTGTTTAGGGATTAAGGTAATGAGAATTGTGCAAACTCCATCAGTGTCGCTCTCTACTTCTAAATTCTACAAGAATAACCAAAGAAAATACATTTGTGAGCACGAGGATCAAGTTTGTCTCCTTCCGGACTTAGATTATGAACAAAACAGACACACCCAAACACCTTTGGAGGAATGGAAAAAGGGTTTTTGTCAGAAAACATCATTTGGAAGGGTGATTTTCCTTGAAGGACCCTAGAAGGCATGCGGTTTAAAAGATAAGTAACAACCAGAACTGCATTTGCCCAAAAATGTTTTGGAACATGCATTTGAATTATTAAGGCACGAGCGATAGCTAGGAGTGGGCTATTCTTCCGTTCATCAACTCTATTTTGTTGTGGGGTATCAACACAAGATGTTTGATGGATAATGCCCCTCGACTCAAAAGACTTTTGAAAAACATTAAGTTTATATTCAAGGGCATTGTCAATTCTAAGAACAAGTAATTTTGCATCAAACTGATTTTGAATTTCAGCATAAAAGGATTGAAAAACAGAAAATACTTGAGATCTATCTTTAAGAATATAAACCCAAGTTAAACATGAATAATCATCAATAAATAACACAAAATAACGAGCACCAAATAAACCAGTAGTACGAGTTGGTCCCCAAATATCCGAATGTACTAACTCAAAAGGTTTTAACCTTAGAAAAATCAACTAAAGAAGGGACCAAGGCTCAAAGACTATTTGAAGAGGGATGTCCATGGCGGCCATGCCACTAGTAAGCTGAAGAGAAGGTGGAATGTAGAGCGGAGCAGTAGTTGGTTGGAAGTAGTAAAGACCATCCTTCTCAAACCCCCCATCAATCGTCTTCTTCACCTTGAGATCCTGAAAGACACAACGGGAAGGAGAAAAAGTAACTAAGCAATTTAAATCTGATATGATTTTGCGAACTGACAATAAATTGAATGAAAATTTAGGGATATATAAAACTAATGAAAAAGTGAGACCCGAAATGCGGAAGGTACCAATTCCATGAACAAATGATTTAGCACTATTTGCTATAGTAACAACCGATGGTGAGAAAACATGAGAAATATCAGAAAGAAGAGATGGGTTACCTATCATGTGATTGATGATCCAAGGTGTAGAAGATGAAGCATGGAGACACGTATTACCTAAAGTAACGATAGTAGCAGTGGAGGAGGGTTGATTTGCACGCTAGCGCTTTACCAGAGAATCATATTCGGCTTTGGAGAGAACGACTAGTTCATTCGCAGGAGTGGGAGTAGTCTCCTCCGAAAACGAAGCTTGATTAGCCCAAGCTGGCTTGCCATGAAGAGCCCAACAGAAGTCAACAGAGTGATTGTTTCAGCCACAATGAGTACACTTCTTGCTCTCTGCCGCCACAAGTACCACGGCCTGCGTTGGAAGGACCTCTGCCCCCTCGTCCTCCACAGAAAGGATCATGTCGCTCAGTAGGAACAACAAGGACAGAGTGGTTGTCCTTCTCAATCACAGGGGCATGAATAGATGCTCTTCGAACTCAAGCAAAAGTCTCACTTCTTGTGGGTATCTCCTTGCCAGACAAAATCTGCGAACTGATCGGAGTGAGTTCGGATTTAAGTCCAAATAAAAAATTTGCCACCCGAAGCTCCTCCCTATGCCCTTTTTGTTGTTCTATGTTTGTAGTCAATGGTTGGTAGACATTCAATTCTTCCCACATGCCCTTCAGTTTTGAGTAATAATCTTCAATAGAACGATCTTCGTGCTAGAGATTAAAAATATCCCGATACAACTGATAAATACGAGAAATATTCTTCTCTGAAGAATACATGCCCCCGAGATTTTCCCAGATATCTTTGGCAAATTCTAGGAATGATACATTGTTGAAGATCTCAGGCTCCAAGTTGTTTCATAACCAAGTCATAATCTGAGCATCTTCTTTCTCCCAAGCCTCAATAATCTTTTCATCACTGGTGGGTTTGGTTGATTTAAGATATGACAGTTTTTCTCAAGCCTGTAAGAACACTTCGACGGCTCGAGACTGTTAAAGGTAGTTTGAGCCTTCCAGTTCTGGTGATTAACCCAAGAAGATGGGATTCCTTAGTATCCATCACAAGAGCTGCAGAACAAATGAGATATAGTAGCGTGCAGGAGCCGAGATAAGAGAACCAAGATCTAACCGAGATGAACCTGAGAGAAATTATCGAGGAGAGAGCCAAGGAGGGATCCGAGAGAGGTTGCCAAGATGAGAACTGAGATCGCCGAGGAGAGATTGCCGAGAAGAGATAGCTGAGAGAAAGCCGAGATGAAATCAAGATCTGAGAGTCTGAATAAAACTAAAAAAAATTTAAAGAGGGATCGATTTCCGCTCTGACACCATGTTGAGAGAGAGAGAGAGAGAGAGAGAGAATCTGAAAAACGTATATGTTATTGAGCAAGTAATACAATAATACAATGGTGTTTATATAGGAGAAGCTACGGGAGTAAGTGAGTGGAGAATAAGTAAACCATATACATGGTAGTTCTATATATGGTAATGTGGGGTAGGTGACAACTCAAACAAATCTAATTGTACACGTGACAACTCATACAATACTAACTGTACACGTGTGACAACTCATACAATATAGTACAACACTTATCAATTGAGAAAACTGGAACTAGAAAGCTTACATATTTATGTTGATGTTGCAACTTCAAATCTTTGACCAGTTTGATGAGCACTCCAAGTATCTGCTCTAAGACCTTCCAGTTGGAAATAGATTATATGTCACATATAATCAGAATAGCATAAGACCTGTGCTTATAATAATGAAAGTACATTACAATACAAAAGTTTGAAATTAAAAATTGGATTGAGAAAGAATGCAGGGATAACAAAATATACAAATATTACAGAGAACTCCTATTCACATACATTGAAATATTCTGCCAGTTTTCTATCCGCGGAATATAGATCCTCCTGCAAAGATGCCTCTTCCCTCTCGATCTCCTCAATAATTAACTTTGCCCTGTTTTAATGATTAGTGAGAAGAGCGCAAGATAAAGGCTAAAGGTCTTTTGAGAAAAATGGTTTCTAATTATTGGAACATGAACTGAGCAAATTACTATATGGCAGCACTAGGTAGTTTAGAAGGTAGATTCAGAAATTTTCCAGAAAGATATCTGCAATGTCATGTTGTGTTTTCATTAGCAATGAAGTAATGCAAAGTATGAGATGATTCAGACCGAATAGCCATCTCATTGTCTGAATAAAATTTTCAACCATTGAGGTATAAAAAAGGACAACTTTATTCATTTCATCATGATGGGTTGAGGCTGGGTTGAGGCGCCTGTTTTGATGTTTCAGCATTTCATGCATATTCATGTTTCAGCTGCTCAAACAAGAAAATAAGGAAAGGCCCAGAAACAGCCAGCCCTGAGTAAATGATAGATCTTGAAGACAGTTCTAATAATGTTCTCTACTTGTTTAGAAAACAAACTGTATTAGGAGACACAGAAGTAGGATGAAGAAATTTTGAAAAATGACTTCGATGTTCAAACATTAGAAAATGTTTTTGCTCAATCGCATTTTGTAGCCTTCAAATTGGAGTCAACTGAATGACAACAAGCACTTATAACAAGACACCATGCTTTTACAAGTGATTATAAATGTCAACATAACCTGTTCTGTTATAGAAATTCAAACAATCAGAAAATATAGTATACCCTCATAGACTTGACATTTAGGGAAGATATAAACATAATGACCATGTGAAAAAAGAATACAAACCTTTCTAGAAGCCGAGCATTTGAATTTTGACTACCAGTTGAAGAGTCTGCAGCACCCAAAAGAAGGGTAATTTTATGCACAGAATCTCTCTTTATATATCTATAATTCTATGTAACTATATTTTACATATTTCTTCATAAAGTGATGCACTTGTGTATAATGTAGACACACACATGCACACATCAGTGCGTGTGAACAATCTTCCAAGGGCTGGAAACCCTCTTCTAACAACATCCACACACAAAAATACATGTGGAATTCATGCATCATGGCAATCCATCCTGGCTTCTTGAACCAGACTTGTTATAATAGTGAACATCCAAATTATCAGTTATGATGCACAAATTTAGCTGATAATTCGTAAATGGTATGAAGAAAAAGAGCTACCTATCCCCAAGAGGTAGATCACAAAAATAACTACACCTTTCCTCTCTTCTCACTCTACCAATCCTCGAACTCTAAACCTAAGGGTTGACAAGACGAGCCAACTCCTAAGCCAAAGAGACCATTAGAGGACCAGTAACAAACTACATAGCTCAATAGGTTGTATATAAGATATAATACATGTATGAGTGTGTGCTTGTGTAGAGAGAGAGTACTTTAAGACTTACCCATGTCATGTAATACAAACATCTGCTAATGAGAGAGAGAGAGAGAGGGAGGGAGAGAGAGAGATAGAATTTAAGACTGACCCATGTCATCTACTACAAAGGCATCTGCTAATTTATCACACTTGGCTTTTAAACGACCCTCAATCTCGCGTAAAAGCAACATCTGGTACTCTGGCATGTCCTATAATTACAGAGAATCAAAATTATTAATCATTAAAATTTATTCACTCAGACGAAGAAAGAAGAACAAGGAAAAGAATTGTCATGACTATAGATCATACCAATCAACAACAAACGAAATAAAAATACATTGCCTATACATTGTGCATATGGATACAGAGAAGAGCTTCACAAAATGCATAGAATAAGAATATCTACATTTTATTAGAATTTGTCGCTTCTATTCATCCATCAAATTTTCATCACCAATTTGCACTTGGTGTAACTCCTCAGTTTTGCAATCCTCAATTCAAATCTATATATCATTCCCTCTCGCTCTACACGTGTTCTCTAGATTCATATTCATCCTATTCCTTCACACATCCCTCTCTCCCTTCACATACATCTATACATCCCTCCATAAGCAAATTCTCCCTCGCTAGACACTAGTGTAGAAGAGGATAGAAGAAGAAAATAAAGTTGTAACCCATTCCCCAATGGGGGTATCATACCATTGATAATGGTGCTTGTCGGAGCTGAGTTTGCCATAAATAAGCAGGTGTTATTCCAAGAAATCTATTAGGAACACCACCAACTCCAGGTTCCTCAGCATCAGTAGCACTGCAGGAAAGAGTATTTGCTGCACCACCAGCACTAATTGCAGAAATATTTGTATAATTTGTTGAGTTCGAGCTTGAGCTAATGGTGACACTGGTACTCATACTATCAAGGGAGCTTCTTGACATTATACTCCACTTTTCAATTTCTTCCTCGTGAATCTCACCATCTTTGGAAATCAGAGGGAGCCTCAATTTTTGAGCTGCTTCTGCGACAACTAGGCGGTGCTCAAGAGCCTCATAAACCTGAAAATTATTGGATTTTTCATCATAATTCCTGAAAATTCAATACAGCTAAAATGCCAAGAATTTAAAATATGAAAACAGAGATTATTTTTATTTTTCAAATTCTCAATGTTGTTTCGCTTTCATTCCTTTTAATAATGACTATGAGTTTAAGTAAATTCTCTTGATAAACATCTTTTACACTGAATGCCAAAACGTGGCCATCAGTTGTGAGTGAAAAACATCTGTACTTTTGATGCAATAACATAGCAATTAGTTGTTTTGCTTCACCTTATACCTAAAATACACACCCATAACCACATAATGTATCTTATATTTCAAATTTGCAAACGCATTGCACTTGCCATATCAGGCAGTATTAAGATTAGAATTGGGAAGGCAAAGTCTTCAGCGAACAACCAGATTAATTGGGTTTCTAGCATGGGGTGATAGAGATCCGTCTTATTTCTAACATTCTAGTCAAGTGTGAACATTACGTTATTATCTCCACTTTGTTGAGCAAATAGAATTATGAAATCAGATATTAATAAATAAATTACTACGTTAGGAATATATACTTTGCAACATAGAAAAAATATAATTATATTAAGAATGAAGATCTACATAGAAATTTTATCAATGTTTCAGTCAATAACATAAAACTTTGCCACATAGAATCAATAAGACAGAACTCACGGCTGAAACAATAGAAACTGAAGAAGAGATTATTAACATAAACTAAAATATTCAAAGCTGTAGGTAAGAAGAAGAAATTATTTAACATAAACTAAAATATTCAAAACTTTATTTCCTGCAGCGCTGAACTAATTCAAATGTTGTAGTTCTCTCCCATTTGCTATGTAGAATTGCCTCTGTTGTTTCCTTGTTCTCATTTGGCTGCTTTCATGAGAGCCCTCGATGGCCAGAAGCTGTCGCTTTTGGAGGTCGCAAGCCTCCCTCATCTGGATCTACAAGGAGAGGTGGAGTGCGTATCTTCATTCAGAAGGCATGTGTTTAGGGTGGACAATCACAGCACTTCTACTCGTGAATTAATGCTTAAGTCTTGCCTTGTTGGGAGATTAGACAGAGATGTGGGGTCTTTGGAGGAGATTGAAGAGTGGGCTACGAAGAAATGGAGGATCTCGTGTGGGGTTAGGGTTTCTTCACTGGCTGATGGTCTTCTGCCGTTCCGATTCCTGTCGATTAAGGAGGCACAGAAGGTTCTTGATAGGGGTAAGAAAACATGAGGTGATGCACAGTTGTTCATCGACCTATGGTGTTACAGGGTTGGGTATTTTGAGTTGAGAAAGAAGACTAATCATGGGAGAGTCATCATGTACAGCCTTCTGCTGCATTTATGGTGTCAGAAGCTTTTTGTTGCAATTGGGGATTTATGTGGAGGATTTTGGGTTGTTGAGGCGTATGAATTGAGCAACACAAAGAGGATTGTTATTACTGTGGTTGAAGGTGGCGAGATCCCGGAGTCATTCATCGTGGAGGACAGGTGGTGGGCCTTCATAATTTCATTAACAGAAGAAATCGCTCCTTCCCTTGTGCCGGTTTCCAAGTCCTGCACCGGAAGTGAAGGTTTTAGGCCACCTGTGGTGTCGGAAAGAAGGAAGCGACCATCTCACAGGTCTGGGACTGGGTCTGGGAGTGTGCCGGAGGTTCAGATGATGGATCTGCAGGACCGCCGGACTCAAGGACAGGGACGCGTGAAGCTGAACACGCCAAAGGCGAGTGGGATTGGGAGGGACGTTAGCGGGACACATGGTTGACGGACAGCTGCCTCCCGTCGCAAGTGGATGACAGCTGCTTCTACACATGAAGAGACAAGTGAGAGTAGGGGATATTTGAGTTCTGCATCTGATGGACTTGATGGGATTGGGCCTAGACAGCATGGACCTGTGCAGATTGGTTCATTGACAGAGTTTCAGGAAGTTGGGTCGGGCGTGACAGGCCCAAGTTATTTGGGCCAACCTCTTATCCTGGGCCTGCACATGCCAAGTCCAATCACAAACACATAAAAGATAGGGTGGTGAGTTGGGGTCCAAATAAGTGCTTTACTGTTTCTATCAATGGATTGCAGCCCAGCCCAACTTTTGTTAAGGTGCCCAGTATGGTTTCTCAAGGCCAAATCCATGATTCGGCACAGCTGAAGTCGGACTTGAGGTATTGGTCACGATCGGAGAAGGAGCATTGGGCAAAGGTGAGTGTGAACAAGAAGGAGGGTGCTGGCTTGATTTCGAAGAAGTTTCGGCACAGTGAGTGCTGTCAGAACTTGCTCTCTGGTAACATATTTGGACCGCTTCAGTCGGGTTCTCCGTGTGATGTCGAGGATGGTAGTTGTTCATCCATCAAGAAAGATTGTCAATCTTCAATTAAATCGCATCAGTCCGGTAAAAGATAGACTAGAAAAGACAAGCAAAAATGGGTGGCCCGCAAGGTTATTCATTCTGAACCTAGTATGTACCCTTCTTCGTTTTCTCGAAGCTCTCTTTTTGCTCTTCCTTCTGCTTCTACTCCTTCTTGTGGGGGTGTTGAGGAGCGAGGCGGGGGAGGATTTTGATGGGAAGTCGTTGATGTCTCGGATGTTATCGCCAGTGGTGGAGGTGGACTCCGTAGATGAGGTGATTTTATTTTTTTTTTTTTTTTTGATAAGTAAGATTTTATAAAAACGCTCCAAAAAGGGGAGCGAAGCCCAACGGGAACAAAAGGAACAGAAGGGCCAAAGGGCTCCTTAGACCTTCAGAGAGGGAAAAAAAACAATAATTTCCTCCATAAATCTATAATCTCTCCTTGAAACCCAACAAAAAAGAGTAGAAATAACAGAGAACTTAAGCATAGAAACAGGCTTCTTTTTCCTGTCAAAATATCTCCTATTTCTCTCAAGCCAAATACACCACCAGATACAAAGCGGCGTAGCCCTCCAAGCATCCCAAATGCCAGCCCCAACAGAGACGCCTCTCCAAGCCTCAATCAACCCTCTAGAGGAAAAAGGCATGGCCCAATGAACCCCAAATAAACGAAGCATCAGATCCCAACAATCTATGGCCATGCTGCAATGTAAAAGGAGGTGATCAACAGTCTCCTCATTACACAAACACATGTAACAGTGATTAACCACCACCTGATTCCTCCTCCTCAGATTATCCTGGGTTAAAATCTTACCCAGAACAGAGGTCCAAGCAAAAAAGGCGACCTTGCGGGGAGCCTTGGACCGCCAAATAGACTTCCAAGGGAAGGGATCTCCATGACCAACCGAAAGGCGTCTGAAAAAGGACCTAACCCCAAAACGGCCATGCGAGGTAGGAATCCAGAACCACCAATCCGATCCCCCAATAGAAATCACCTGACTGTACAACAGCTCCAGAAAACGAGAAACATCCTCGATCTCCCAATCCTAGATGAGGTGATTGAAACAGATTTTACTAGGTATGGGGCTTTTGGGCTGTCAGAAAGGGATGGGACGGTCAGTTTGCTTGTTGATGGGGGTATTGATCGGAAATGTGTAGGACATGATGAGTTTTGCTCTGATTTCTCCTCTTCCATTCAGTATGGTACGTCTGGGGATAATTTGGGTGGGCTGGCCAAGCCTCATCTGGGTAGAGGAAGGAAAAAGTTTGTGTTTACCCAAGGGCGATGTTTTGGACACATCAGATGGTTTGTTTGCCAGAAAAGATGACAGTTTGCATTGGCAAGGACATCTGTATTACCTTTAGTGATGAATCAGCTACTTTGTTGGTTCAGGAATTGCAAAAACACAGGTTTTTGTCTGATGAAGTGCTCACTTATGATCCAGATTGAAGGTGAGGTGGATAGTGTAGTTGACTGGACCTGTGTTGATGAGGTGGAGGAGCCCGACGGAGGTGATGTTGATGGGAGCAGTTGAGCAAGGCAGGTCTCTTAACATGATCTTGTGGGCGAAGGAGGGTCACCCTAATCTGAGGATGGTTGATCCACTGGCAGTTGTGAGACCGGAGGTAGGGGTGAGCAAATAATCCGCCAATCCGTCAATCCAGTCAAAACCAATCTGATCCATGTGGTTCGGTTCGGTTTTCAGATCTCATGGTTCAGTGATGGTTTAGAAAAATAACAATTCGCTATTCGTAGTTCGGTTAACGGATTGGCTTAGAAAAACCGATCCGGTCCGTTAACCAAACCGATCCGATCTGTTACCTTAATTATATATTAATATATTTTATATATATAACTATATATATACTTACTATATTTCTATATTTTTTTTATTATTTAAGACTTTAAGTTATCCCTAGGTCACCAAAGTCATAACAGGTTTTTAATTAATAATTTGAGATTTAATGGGCCATAAAGTGTAATCATATTGGGCTGTTGAAAAGCCCAATCCGTGGAAACCGAACCGATCCATTATTTCACGGATCGGTTTGGTTCGGATTGAAGGTCCCCACGGATCGATTCAGTTTCAAATTTCACCAATCCGTGGTAACCGGATTGAATTGAACTTTACCCCCAAACCAAACCAATCCGATCCGTGATCAGCCCTAACCGGAGGGTATGGACAGTGATATTGTAAGGCAGGATTGTAGTGATATTGGAAAGGATTGGGTCATGGCAAATATCAGGGCCACTAGCGAACTGTTGGGTGTCTCTTGCAAGGGCAATCGAGACCAGGCCGTATCAATCCTTCATGCTACGGTGGAGGGGGGAGAAGAGGAGATGAAACAGATCTCTCAGAAAGGAGAGTAGAAGGAAAAGAATCATCCCTCTTAGAGAGGGGAGAGGGAGCTGAGAAATCTTTGTTCAGACGTGAACTATGAAAGGAAGATAGGGGGCAGAAGGAAAGGGGGCCAGGGGCAGTGCTAAGGGGGGAGGGAGGGTAAAGGAGAGATGGGTGTTAATGTTTCCTCATGAAGCTACGAATTTTATCTTGGAATGTCCATGGTCTCAATGACCCGGGTAAGAGGAAGGTGGTGAAGTTAGTAGTAAGAAAATGGGGGTTTCATTTGGTGTGCCTTCAAGAAACGAATGCAATGACCAATTGAGTGGTTAAGAGCCTTTGGGGAAGTCGGTTCGCTTAGTGGGAGGTTCTGGATTCTTTAGGGGTCTCTGGAGGCATTCTCCTCATGTGGGATAGGAGATGGATGGCAAGGGTGGATATTTAGAGGGGCGTTTCTCTCTTTCTTGTGATTTTGTGATGGAGGAGGATAGCTTCTCTTGGGCTTTTTCTGGCGTGTGTGGGCGGTGGATGATTGTGAGAGGCTTGCACTGTGGGAAGAGCTTAGTGTGGTGAAGGGGGATTTCAATGTGGTTAGGTCCCCGTCAGAGAAATCTACAGGTGGTCAATGGACTCCGGCTATGATGCAATTTTCGGAGTTTATTGATGGACATCAGCTTATTGACCTTCCATTAGAGGGAACTACTTTTACATGGTCGAGTGGTAGGTAGGGAGGTCCCTACTCTTTCCTGCCTGGATAGATTCTTGGATAGATTCTTGATTTCTAGGGAGTGGGAGGAGAAGTTTCCACACGCAGTTCAGGCTGTTTTGGCTAGGGTAACGTCGGGCCACATTCCTTTGGTTTTGGATTTTGGAGGATTGAGACCTCGTTACACTCCATTCAGATTTGAGAACATATGGCTTAGGACGGTGGATTTTCAGGGGAAACTGGGAAAGTGCGGTCTTGGTGGGAGGAGGACATGGTGGTGGGAACGTCGAGTTTTATTTTGTCAGGAAAGCTTCGACTACTGAAGAACAAACTCAAAAGATGGAATAAGGAAGTGTTCGGTAATCTAGAGTGGAGGAAGAATAGGGCCGACATTGCTGAGATTGATAGATTGGAAGGGGTAGGTGGTATTGTTGAGTCTCAATGTAATAGGAGAGCAACTTGTCGGGCAGAGATTGTTGAGATTGCGGTTATGGAGGAAATTTCGGGGCAACAAAAATCTCGGGCTTTGTGGCTCAAAGAGGGAGACCATAATACAAAGTTTTTTTCATAGAACTGCTAATACCCATAGGAGGGGCAATCATATTGGGCAAATTTGTGTGGACGGAACGGTGTTGAATATAGAGGAGGAGGTGCGTAGGGAGATCGTTTCTTTCTACCAGAGGCTATACTCTGTGCCTCTACGTTGCAAGTCAAGGCTCGATGGCCTTCATTTTGACTCTATATCAGCTGTGGATAGAGATGGGTTAGAGAGTCCTTTTACAGAGGAGGAGGTTTTGAAGGCTTTGATGAGTTGTGATGGTGACAAGGCTCCAAGTCCGGATGGCTTCACAATAAGATTATTATTGGAGAGCTGGGAGGTGGTTAGACAGGAGGTTATGGGCACTTTTCATGAGTTCCATTCTAATGAGAGGTACGAAAAGTCGTTGCATGCATCTTTTATTACTCCAATTCCTAAGAAGGGTGGTGCTTCTGTCGTTAAGGATTTTAGACCAATAAGTATGATTGGGTGTATCTATAAGCTTATTGCTAAAGTCCTTGAGTTAAATTTGAGGAAGGTTCTGGACAGAGTCATCTCTAAATCTCAAAATGCGTTCATTGGGGGTAGACAGATCCTGGATTCCGCTCTCATTGCCGGTGAATGTTTGGAATATAGGCTCAGTAGCGGTGTTCTTGGCGTTCTATGTAAGCTTGATATTGAGAAAGCTTATAATCATGTTTGCTGGAATTTTTTGTTTTATCTGCTAGAGAGGACGGGTTTCAGAGAAAGATGGAGGAGATGAATCGACGCAGGCGTTTCCTTTGTCAGATTTTCTTTGTAGGTGAACGGGTCTCCATCGAGGTTTTTTTGGCAGTTCTCGTGGTTTGAGGCAAGGGGACCCACTCTCCCCATTCTTGTTCATTATTGTTATAGAGGCTCTTAGTAGGTTGATGAGAAGGGTTGTGGATTTGGGATTTATCAGGGGCTTCAGGATTGGTCCAGATTCAGTTCAGCAGATGGAAATCTCTCACCTGCTTTTCACGGATGACACTCTAGTTTTCCGTGAGGCAAAGAGATATTTGAGATGTGCCCCGGTTTGCTTTTAGGCAGTTTCAGGTTTAAAAGTCAACGTGGGCAAGAGTGCTTGTTCCTGTGGGGGAGGTTCAGGAGGTGGCTTCTCTTGCAACGGTTTTAGGTTGTGGGACGAGCTCTTTCCCTATTTCTTGCATTGGCTTGCCGTTGGGTGATTCATCAAAAGGGTGGGAAGTTGGGACCCGGTGATAGAGCGTTTCGAGAAAAGGTTGGCTGGGTGGAAAAAGCAATATCTTTCAAAGGGAGGGAAAGTTAATTTGGTGAAGAGTACATTGTCCAGTCTTCGAACTTATTTTCTTTCGCTTTTCCAGATCCCCTACTCTATTATTAGAAGACTTGAGATGCTTCAACGAAACTTCCTCTGGGGCGGACTAGGGGAGGAGTTTAAATTTCATCTTGTCCGGTGGGAGCAGGTCTGCAGACCCTTTAAGTTGGGCGGTCTTGGGATTAGGAGATTAGCCCCTTTCAACAGAGCACTCCTAGGCAAGTGGTTATAGAGATTCAACAATGAAAGACATAGGTTACGGAGGAAGGTTGTTTCATGTCGTTTTGGGGAGGAGAGAGAGGGATGGTCATCTAGGCCGGTCAGATCTGCTGTCGGCGTGAGGGTGTGGAAATCCATGGGGAAGGGATGGGATGAGTTCTCTAAGCATATTAGATTCAGAGTTTGGGAAGGAAGGGACATCCGGTTTTGGGAGGACACTTGGTGCGATGATCGCCCATTGTCTTATTTGTTCCCAAGGTTATTCAGGATTGCTGTTGATAGACATGCTTTGGTAACTGACTTTTATCGACTCGATAGCGGTAGGTTGTCTTGGGATGTGCGGTTCCAGCGATCCTTTCAGGTTTGGGAGTTGGATGACGTCATTGGCTTGCTAGACCTTTTATATAGACAGGAGGTGGATGGTACTGGTTCGGATTCTTTGACTTGGGTGCCTTCTTCGCAGGGGACTTTTCAGGTCCATTACTTTTTTCTCTGCCTCTCCGGTTTCACGGTTCCAATTTCTCTTGGAAAATGGTTTGGCATTCGAAGGCTCCTCTTAGGGTGGCCTTTTTTGTTTGGACTGCAGCTTGGGGTAAAATCTTGACTCTGGACAATTTAAGAAAGAAAAGACAAATCATAATCAACCGGTGTTGTCTGTGTAAGAATGACGAGTCTATGGATGATCTTCTTTCGCATTGTCCCGTGGCTCATGACTGCTAGAGTCTTATTTTGGTTCTTTTTGGCGTCCAATGGGTTATGCCCCGGACCTCAAGGGATTTGATTGACATTTGGAAGGGCCAAAGGGTGGGGGATCATGCTCGTGAATATTGGAGGGTGACCCCCCTTTGTGTTTGGCGGAGTTTTTGGAAAGAGTGAAATAAAAGATCTTTTGATGGGGAAGAATTCTCCATTGGGGCGTTGAAATTTTCTATTATTTTTTCTCTTTTTAATTGGGTTATAGGGAGAAATTGTATATCTTTATATGAAGTCGTGGACTTTTTGGGTTCTTTGGGTCATTAGGACTCCCTTTTTTTTATTATTTCGGTTATTGTACAACTCTTGGGACGCTTACTCACACATTTTTACTTATCAAAAAAAAAACTAATTCAAATTAAAGAATGTGTATAAAGATGGTCATACGCGGTTAAACCATTCAAGACTAGCTATATAACCCAAAAAAAGTCAGAAGACAGGCCAATTTTCCTATAAAACTGAGAAAATGTAAAGTACGAAAAAGTGAAACCTCAGGAGAGTTCTTCAAACCCAGTTGTGGGTACAGACCCTGGACGTCTCGGATACCTCCAAGGTTTGCTACTGAAACAGCCTGCTGATATTCTTCAACCATAGCAATAGCCTCACAGTAAATTGCCTACATTGCCCACCACAAAATAAAAAATAATAATATGTATCATATATGAAACAAACATGAAAAAATTAACACTAGAAACCCAAACCCTAATTCCCCAAAACACCAAAAAACGCATATAAAACACCAAAAAACGCATATAAAACACCAAAAAACGCGTATAAAACAAAGCAGTGATTAATTCCTAACATTGTACGAGCATAACAATACCATGGCTTCCAAATAACGCAGTCTCTCTCTGGACATTTCCTCTCTCGCCTGCAACAGCAATCAACCAATCAACGAGAAATGGTATATATGAAGCATGGGTAAATATACATGTATATATATAGAGAGAGAGTGGGTACGAGTTGCAGATCGTAATAGGCAGATTTGGAGACGAGAGATCCATCAGGGGCCAAGCAGTGGCGCTCCAACTGATCGATTAACTGAGTCACGTCGGCAGGTAGATTTTGCCCCTTCGCCATATTTTTTCCCTCACAAAATTTGAAACCAATACTATCAAGATGAATTTCAAAAATAAAATACCAACTAATGAATTAAAACGATTGCATCTGCCGGCACCTATTTGCATTTAGCAGGACAAAATTGGTCCTACCATAACAAAAGACCAACACGTGTCCCAAATATTATATGATAAAAAAAAAATTTAAAATAAAGGGCTAAAAATCATAAAACCCGTGTTTCTAAAAATTATCAACTAACCCCTCAACTAAAGAAACTATCATATTACCTCCTTGACGTTTTAAAAAGCCTATCATATCACCCCATCCCGTTAACTTCCCGTCTAAAACTAACAGAAAAAAAGCACCTAACAGCACGTGCATCATTTTGCACTTTAATCTGACAAAACTACCCTTCACTTCACCTAATGACCAAATTGCCCTTTTAGAACACTGTATCATTCTAGTAGCGTTCTCAATTATAGCACACAGAAAAACTTGCTTTCTCTTCTTCACAATTGTGTCCTCCATTAAAGCACATGAAGAGAAAATCTTGCTTTGTCTTCCTCACAATCCTTCTTCCTCAAATCATTAGCGACGTCCTTAAATCAATTTGGAAAAAACTCGGACAACTGGTCGTGGATATCAAAGTGCTAGTGGAGAAATAGATTGCTCGAGGGGCAGACGGCTTGGAGACTTGAGTAGAGAGTGTGGCTCAAAAGGTAACTAGAGGTTTTCTGGGTTTCAAAAATTGTTCACCTAGTTGTAAAATCTCCCTCACTTTGGAAATGCGGAGTTAATCCGCCTAGACTAGGTCCCACTGTTTTTGCCCTTGGGTTTTCACATAAAAATCATGTGTTCATTGTGTGAATTATTTAGTTTACTTTAGGTATTTTAATATGCATTACGATCATGATGAATGAATTGATTTATACATTACGCTTAGACTTAGTTTAGTTTTTGAATTGTCATTATTGTAGTTATAGTAAGTCGAATTGATTTATGCATTACCATCATGATGAATGAATTAACCAAGAAGAAGTTGTTAAAAGCCATCAGTTAATCAATTTAGACCTATTCACCACCTCTAAGGTTACGGTCCTATATTTCTCAAAAAGCATTATTAAGAAAACTTTGGCATTATTTTTCACATAGTAATTGTTGATTGGTCTCGGACTTGAACCTGAGGCCCCACGCTTTTTGCTCAAACTTCAAGGAAGCAATTACCCTAACCCCTACATGATATATATAATATGTATGTAATTATGTATGTGCATGGAAAAGCTATTTCCTTTTTTACTATTATTAAATATACTACAAATTGGCCCATGTAAATTTACTGAATCCTACCCACTCTTCTAGAATTGAAGATCCATATTCCAAGTGCACACTGATGTCAAAAGCAGGATGTGAATGGAAAAAGTGACAAGATGAAGGGATAGACAGGTGAAAAGATCAAAGAAACACATTGAGGAACTAAGATTTTAAATTTTAATTTACAAAGAAAATCAGCTCTTCAGATCAATTTAATTATAAAAAAAATAGTCAAGTGTCAAGTGGAAGTGCAGTGATGTACGCAAGAGGCATCCCAACAAATAATAGACTTGAAGCTTGTTCTTACATGACTTGATCAATTCGATTAGGCACCCCATAGCTGCTTTCATTATTCAACTTTTTGACAATACAATAAAACCACCGTTCAATTCTTTGACAATATGAAAAAATTAAAAGCTCTCCCTTCCCCCTCTATCTATCCAGCTAGGGCTGCAAATGAACCGAGCCGAGCCGAGCTTGGGTCTGCTCGGGCTCGGCTCATTTGTTTACAGGGTCTGCTCAGGCATGGGCTCGGCTCGTGACGAGCTCAGAAAATTGAGCTCGGCCTCAGGCTCCTCTTAATTTTAAAAGCTCGGGCTCGGCTCGGTAAATTTTTTTTACTTCTCAAAATTAATTAGTATTCCACAAGAGAGAGAGTAAGAACAACTTACAACACTTGTAATAATAAACTTACAACACTTGTAATAATAGAAGTTTAGAATTAAAAGTTTGGGGAAGGTCAAACCTAATTTTATTAAAAGTAATATTCAAATTCAACAAACTGATATTAGTTAAAAGTATGAACAAAATCAACAGATAACTGTAAGCAACTCTTCTTTTGCGAGGCCTACAATCACATAAACCAAATCAATAAATTGGGTGCAGGTGATTATCTCAAGTAATTCATAGCATCAAAGGGCCCCAATGAACAATTTTAGTTTTTTTGAAAGTAAATCCAACCTATAGGAAGCTTTTCATATATACTCAAATTTTCTATATGGATGTGTATGAGTGCAAGAATGATAAAACAAAGGGTCCTATTGATAAAACCATCAACCCTCAGAATTAAATCACTTGAAAACAAAAAGTGACCGATAACATGAAACATATTCCAAGGGTCTTCAACATCAAACCTTCGTCATGAACTTGAAAAGGGGATCTTCAATTATAAAATCCATAGTCATGTATATAGATATATGCATCTATAATCGATTTTATATAGTACCTCAAGCGATGAAGACAGATAGAAAGGGAAAGAGAGAAGGAGACGAGCAGTGAATCTTCATACCAGAAGACGGAGAGGACGGACAACGACAGAGAACGGCGAGGACAGCAGACGGCAAGGCCAGACGACGGCGAGGCCAGACGACGGTGGGGGCAGGCTGGACAGCAGACGGCGGAAGTGGTTTTGGAAATGAAAGAGAGAATGACGATTCAGTCTGATTGGAAATGAGGCGCTTCGGCCATATTTTTGTATTTAGAGATGGGTTTAACATGTAAATTAAATTACTTCTTAAACAAAAATTTAATAATTAATAGCTTATTTAATAGTAAGTGGTAGTTGTTATTTGAATGTAAATTTTATAATGCACATTTGAATATTTTATAACATAATATAGAAAAATACTTGAATTTAAAGATTATAAAATATTTATCTAAATTGTGCTTAATTTTTTTTTTTTTTTCATATTTAAATTGATGAGTCTTTGAAGATCATAGTGCAATTCTGATTTCCATTCATACTTAATTCACATTTAAATATTTTATAACATAATATAGATAAATATTTAAATTTAAATATTACAAAATATCTAAGTTTTGGTTAATTCTGATTTTTTTTCATACTTAAATTGACGAGTCATTGAAGATCACAGAGTCAATTCTGATTTCCATTCATACTTAATTCACATTTGAATATTTTATAACATAATATAGATAAATATTTAAATTTAAATATTACAAAATATTTATCTACGTTGTGTTCAATTCTGATTTCTATTCATACTTAATTCACATTTGAATATTTTATAACATAATATACATAAATATTTGAATTTAAAGATTACAAAATATCTTTCTAAGTTGTGCTCAATTCTGATTTTCATTCATACTTAAATTGACGAGTCTTTGAAGATCACAGAGTCAATTCTGATTTCCTTTCATACTTAATTCACATTTGAATATTTTATAACATAATATAGATAAATATTTCAATTTAAATATTACAAAATATCTATCCAAATAGACTAAGTTTTGCTCAATTCTGACTTCCATTCATACTTAAATCGACGAGTCTTTGAAGATCAAAAAGTCAATTATGATTTTCATTCATACTTAATTCACATTTGAATATTTTATAACATAATATAGATAAATATTTGATTTTAAATATTATAAAATATCTATATAATTGTGCTTAATTTTGATTTCCATTCATACTTAAATCAACGAGTCTTTGAAAATCACAGAGTCAATTCTGATTTCCATTTAACATGACGGTGATTCTCTAATATTATTTTATTTGATATTATTCTTATGTTGTTTAGCTTTTGATATGTAAATTATTAATTTAAAATTATTATCATTTCTGCCGATAATGATTAAAAAAATTATAGTATAGTTATTGATTCTGTTAAAATTGTCTTTGATAATCTATTTAGTATAAGTATACTATTATATATTAATCAATGTTGTACTTTGAAGACACAAAGTGGATTAGTGGTATCCTGGTAGGAGTGTTAGGAGTTTTATTATTTCATATTATATATATATATATATATATATATATATAGCGAGCCGAATCCGAGCCTCAACGAGCCTGCCGAACCCCTGTTCACGAGCCTAAATGAGCCAAGCCCAACGTTGTTTGGACTCGGCTAGTTTACTAAACGAGCCTGAAAATTAGACTCGACATCGGCTCATTTACTAAACGAGTCTGAAAATTGGGATCGGGCTCGGCTCATTTACTAGCGAGCCAAGCCTGGAGCTAGCCGAGCCTGGTGTGACAAAATTGTATTAGAGCTCAGTTGGGTGATATATTCTCAATTGTTGATGCAATGATATTTTAGATTTGGAAACTCATTGGGATTTTCGTTGTTTCGAGCTCCTTCAAGACCACAATTAAGAATTTGAAATATATTGGGTTTTTATGGATTTCGGGGGTGTGACAAGATTGTATTACAGCTCAGTTGGGTGATCTATTCTCAATTGTTGATATAATGATATTTTAGATTTGGAAACTCATTGGGATTTTCGCTGTGGCTATTAATACACATAACAAGAGAAAAAGTAATCAAACTACCATAACTCATGCATACAAAATCTCTCTCTCCAGATAAAATTCAAAATACACAAAACAAGAGAAAAATAAAGCAAAGTACCACAACTCATGTATACAAAATCTCATAACATTAGCAGGATAAAAAATGAGGGCCTGATATCTAGGGACTAGCCTTGGACCTGCAAGAAGCTTATAGCCTCCAAATTATATTGTTATTGGTTGCATGATAAACAGAAACTCTTAGAACATGAAAATTCCTTCTCATAGATCATCTCCAAGTATTAACTCTTCCTTATGAAGGGTTTCACCTAGAATTCAATCTTAGCATATGCAAAATAAAATTGCACATTACACTTCCTCTTTCATTGTGAAATATGGATCAACAAATCCTATCTTATACAATGTCAACCAATTTCAGGTTTGTGATACTAATTTATTTACAATGTAAAATCATTCTTCAAACTTTTTACATAGAAAAGAGACTTATTTGTGAAATGGGATTATTCAAAATTGGAAAAAGAAAAGGAGCTAGTCACAAAAATTTTTGGGAATTTTTAGCTGCAAACAAAGGAATGAATTTTGAGAGTTAGAGCACCAATGTGTTAAAAAACAATAAGTATTTGTCAATGTATAATTTCAAGGTTTTATTCACTTTCTCAAAACAATTTGATAACTCCCATTACTGTTAACTTTTCTCAACAAAATTTTTGAAATAATTTGATAACTCCCATTACTGTTAACTTTTCTCTACAAAATTTTCATAATTGAGATCACTAAGCATTCTAACATTCTATTAATACAGAATCAAATCGACTTATCAAAAAAAAAAATCAATACAGAATCAAATCGATAACTAGAACTTCTTCATTTTTTGTAGGTGTAATTAGAACATCTTTAAACCACATAGAGTATCAATAACTTCAAAATAATGCTAGTTGTCGCTAAAAATTTGAATATTCTGTCCTATCAGTACATAAATTTCTTCACGCAAGAAACTAATTGTGACGACCCTGATTTTTAGGCCAGCGTGTCCTGTGATGAACCGTAAGGATGATCCGATAACGGATCCGAATGCGGAAGTGAAAACAGAAAACAAGACTCTAAGAAGTCAAAGTGACCTTCCATGAGGTCGTGGAACTCAACAAGAACTGATGCGGAAGCAAAAGATCGAAAATATGACAAATAAGCCCCCAGGGGAAAAATAGTCATTTTTGAAAATTATAGATTCGGGTGCCACCGAGCACACCGCTGGAAGGACAACGAAAAACTAATCAAGATGGACTCAATAATCGCATGATTCGGAGTCCGGATGAAGGAGAAACGGCATGACGAAGAACAATGAGCACTTAAGGCAAAAAGGGTAAACTGGTAATTATCCAGGAAGAACCGGGTGCAACCAAGCACACCATTGGAAAGACAGCAAAAAATTAGTCAAGTTCAAAAAAAAATTCACTTGAATCGGAGTCCGGACGAAGGAGAAAAGCCCAAAAGAAGAGTTGACGTCGCGGCAGCCCGACGAAGGCCATGGCGCACACGGCGCCCATGCGCGAGCCCATCGGCGCGCATGCCGGCGCCCAAAGACACGGCTGGTGGCAGCCCTTGGCTGCTACTACATTTTTTTTTTATCTGCCTAGAACTGAGGCTTGAAACGGAGGTCAAGACGAATTTTTCTGAAAAAACACGAAAAAGAAACCCCCCTTAAAATCGAGTTTTCTACCCAACTACAAAATAGAATCGAAAAAAACTCACTGTGAAATCCCCAAAATGCCCCTAGATCAGAACTGAACAAGAGGGTTAAAAGTTGCTACAGTGACTGTCTGCAACTGAGAGTGAAAACGGGCTAAAAGATGAATTTTTCTGGAAAAACACAAAGAAGAAACCCCCCTCAAAATTGAATTTTCTATGTGACTCGTAAGAGAATTAAAAAAAAAAACTCAATGTAAAACACCCGAAATGCCCCTCCATGAAATCTGGTCATGGAGGTCCAAAAAGCTGCTAAGTTGGAAAACTGAGCGCTGAACTTCGTAAGCGATTTCCGATATCAAAACGACATTTTCTGGAAAAACACAGAAAAGAAACCCCCCCTAAAATCATGTTTTCTATTCAACCATGTTGAAAGAAGAAGAAAAAAACCATCGTGAAAGGTGCACAATGCCCCTAGATCAGAATATGCAAAAAAAATGTGAAATGCATTCACAAGAGGCTCAAAACACAAACGATAAGGTTTTGCCCGGAAACGACCATGCACGCAAACGTAACTTACCTATTTGGACGTGCTACAATGGTCCACGACTTAAATATACCACCGATACAAAATTCGACCCCCCAACGTGCAAAAAGGCAAAAATGGAACTTGGAATGAAAACTCGGAATCCAAAAATACAAAACGGGATCAAATGACCGTTTAGCCCTTGGCCACACTTCATACAAGATTAATAAGACCCTATGAAAGAATGAAAATAGAATTCCCACACCCGATGCAACCATGGTGAAGCAATGACTTGCAATTTTTCAAGATTTTCATAATATTTCATGAAGTTAAAAAGTTGTATAGAATACAATACACATGTCATTGGCATCCGGCCTCATCTCATACATATCAAATACATTGAAAGGAGTGCATTTATGTACACATTACATACATGGAATCAAATATACATATTTTGACCTATAAGTCTACAAAATGACATTTCATGCTAACATTTGCATGAAATGGAAACTTGAAAGCTACATGACATCCAAGGAATGCTAGGCATCACGAACCAAGTCTTCGTACCTGAAATATGCCCCAGTATCGTAGGGGTGAGTAACATAAAGCTACTCGTAGGAGATGAGCATGCATCGACCTAGCATTTTACAAATTTATCACCTTAAGGTGAAACGTGTTAAAGGGGTTCATGCCACCTAACGTCTATATCGAAATGAGACTTAGGGAGCATCCTAAGCTACCTTAGAGTGTTTCTAGCATAAATCACATCATCTATGCCATTTAAACAATATGGAAGCACGTTATACAAAGCAACAAGATATAGGTTCTTAAAGGTATTAACTTGCAATCTCGAATACAGAAACAACTAAAGTGATCATGTCAACTAACGTCAATGTTCTAAATAAGTCTAAGGAATCATCCTAGGCCATGCTGAACAATCAAAACGCAATTTACAACTTCAATGCAATCTAACCACA